AGTCTTGCCCCCCCCCCTTGCCTCCACGACCTGGTCCCCCCTGGCGGTGGCTTCTTGGTGCTTCGTCCACTGAGTGAGGTCGCGGCTCTTCAGGTACTCCACAAGGCCGTCGTCGTACGCAGCAATGTACGGCCATGTCACCCTGCTCCACGCGCGGGTGAACTCCACCGGCACGTCCCGCATGGTGCCCGGCAGAATCTCGAGCATGTGGGGGAGGGAGCATTCGCAGTGAAGCCGAAGAAGGTACTTGATGTGCCCCCAGTACCGCTCGATGGCGTTAAGCTCAGGGTGGTACTTGGGGAGGAAGACGCACAAGTACCCGGCCTCCTTGAAGAACTTCTCGACCTTGTTGAGCTGTCCCCTGAAAGCCTTCAGCTCGGAGAGTACTTTCCGGGCACAACAAAGCGGCGGGGGGGCGGGGGGTCACCGCACTTGCGAGAAGAGGACCACGGAAAAACTTCAAGGCTCACTTTAGTGCACGGGGAAGGGGGTGGGATGGGGGGGGGTCAAAAAGGGACGGGAGGGAGTGTTTACGGTACGCCACACAGACACAGCTACCCCCCACCCCCCATCATATGCCCCGATGTCCGCTGCCCCTCCTAGTTTATGTCACGTGCCTACCTCCGGCAACGACTGATACGCCTCCTCTATTTCCCTCATTTCCAATGACACTCACTTTTGCACGCCTGCCACTCGAAGGCGGGGCGCGTTCTTCTCCCGTCGAACAGCTTCTGGTCGAGGTACTCCCTGAGGCGCTGCCGGATGTCCTCGTCGTGGATGTAGGAGTGCGGCTGGCGCTTGTTGTACTGCCGTTTGCGGACACGAAAGGTGCCGTCCTCGCAGAACTCCTTCACCCACCGTCGCACTACCTTCGACTCCACCTCGGCGAAGTTGGCGGCGGTTCTGCTGTGCTCCATTTTAGCAACCCCGTGTTGCAGCCTGTCGTTCGTGTCGGTCGGAAGTTTGGTAAATTTCGTGCCCTCTAAATCATGCTGCACGACACCGAGGCCATGACAAAAAAAAGCACACACACACACAACAACGATATGGGTTTGGCTAGATCATACTGCTGTAGACACAGGCCATGAAAAAAAAAAAAAACACACACACACACAAGAACGATATGGGTTGGCTAGATCATACTCCTGTAGACACAGGCCACGAAAAAAAAATAAACACACTGAAACGAAAAGGGGTGGCTTGATCATACTGCTGTAGTCAGAGGCCATAAAAAAAAATGAAACCAAAAGGTTTTCGCATGTTACCCGCCCCCACTTACTCGAAGAACAAGAACGTCTTCACAGCATTGATAACACGGCACGTGTGAACCATCCGCGTGCTGTCAAGCATCGTTTCGGGATCATCCACCACCGAATCGAAGCTGCCGCCCTTTTCAGCCTGTGGGGCAGGGGGGAGGGGGGAGCAAGGCATGTTTTTGTCAATATTGCTGTCATTTCAAATGACGCGAAAATAGGGGTTGAGAGGGCACAACACGAGGCTGGCAATGCATGCACACCTCGTGCGCACAAACAGAAAAATATGCACATTCACCCACATCAAGCGGCGGTTGCCAATCACGTTGGAAGGACAGACGTGCCAAGCAACGGCCAACGAGAGCGACGGACTTATACCCCGCACGTTGACAAGTAACAGCTGATTTCGTGAATGAGCACTGATCAGGTACGCGACATCCCATCTGAAGAACAAACAGCCATCGCAGCGGTGCTGCACTACTTCTTTATATTTAGCTGGCATGCACTTTGACCACGTTTCTCACCTGGTGAAGCCTCGCGTAGGCTTTGCGGTAGGTCTCCATCAGCTGTGCCTTGCGCCTGGTGTAATGCTTGCGCGTGCGGCGGCCCCTCGCCTGCTTCACCGTCGCCCTCCTCGTTCCTTGCTGCGGCAATCTCTCCCTGCGTTCAGCACGTTTTCCCTTTGAGCCCTTCAACTTCAATGCCGCAAAGCTGTCACCAGCCTCCTCCGGCAGCAACACCTTTGCGATCTGTCCTGGCCCGGCTTTGTGGTTTGCCTTGCTGCCCCATTGGCGTCTTGGCGCACAATACGCGCCGCCGAAACGGTTCTGTCTCCCACTTTTTCGTTGGGCTGCCGACGGCTCCGTTGCGGCGCGAGTCGCCGCTGCTGCCCCCGGCTGGTCTACAGCACCGGTCGCCGCTGCCGCCGGCTGGTCGACACCACCTTGATCACCAGGTTCAGGGGCGCCATCGCTCTTGCTCGCACCTTTATCGCGAGGCGTATGGGCGTCGTCGCCCTCACTACCGCTGCTGCTGCTGTCGCTGCTGTGGCTGCTGAGGGACTGGTCGCTGTTGAAATCCCACCCGTCAAGGCGTCCATCCGATGATGTGTCGCAGTTGTCATCCAAGATGTCAGTTGCTTCCTTCATTTCTTCGCCACGGACCCACTCCTCAAGCAATAGTCCATGGCCCCACTGTATCGACATGTTGCCGATGCTGCCACAGTTGCTGCCGGTGTCCACTTCCTACCCTCGCTGCCTGCGCACAAAGGGCTGTTCGGCGGCGCAACCTGTACTTGACCAATCTCGTCATCGAACGAGGAGCTCTCCTCGCCTTACTGCTCCTCCTGCCGCTCCTCCTGCTGCTGCTGCCGTCGCGCACGCTCCAGAAACATCCCCATAGTGTCGGCCAAGCCCACGACTTGGCGCCCCAAAGCTGCTTTTCGGCGGCGGGATTGCTGGCTTCGTGAGAGAGAAAACACGGCGGGTTTTGTTTTTCTCGCCGCGTTTGCTGCCGAGCGAGCTGCGGATACCACAGCACGCCCTGCGAACCTCAGTATCGACTGACCCCCACCACTGCTGTGTGTCCTGCTGGGTTCCTCATCGCACCAGTCTTCGTCGTTTGCCGCAGCCCCTTCCTCATCTTCATCCATAGAAGAAGCGCTGCCGCCACAAGCGTTGCTGTCGTCGGGTGCGTCCCCAACGGAAGGCACATCGGCGGCAGACGCCGGAGGATCATGTTGCTGTGCCGGGGCCTTCGAAACTATCCGCCCATCCGACCCACGGCCGAGCTTCCTCTTCTTCGCCCGTGGCATGGGCCTGTGTGTGTCCGCGTGTAGGTGTTTGTGGCTGTGTGTGCACAGCGGCTGCTGGCGATATTTTCTCCCATGACGGGCCAACAACAATGGCGATATCTCGTGAAAGGACCGCCTACGCGGGATTTTAAGATCATCTAGAAAAAGAACAGGGGGGGGCACGCAGACCCTATCCCTAACCCTAACCCTAACCCCAAAGGACGGATTGCCTCCAAAATCCAGTTTTTAGTCGATATCTTCGTCGAAAATTAGTATTTTCAAAAATATATATATATATCTGGAATTCGGAGATACGCTCAAATCCGTTGAGATATTTGATATCGGCTAAAAACACGACCCAGCGGAAACGATACAAAAGTTCACCCTTTTTGAAAGATAAAAAGTCAAGGAAATAAAAAAATCGGAAAATCTCTCCGTAGCAGCAGCAGCAGCAGATGCTACAAAAAAACATCACAATAGCGTCGGCTGAACTTTAATTGCCGATCTCCCGTGCGAAAGCTGAGAGAGACAGAGAGAGAGAGAAAGAGAGAGAGAGAGAGAGAGAGAGAGAGAGAGAGAGAGAGAGAGAGAGAGAGAGAGAGAGAGAGAGAGAGAGAGAGAGAGAGAGNAGAGAGAGAGAGAGAGAGAGAGAGAGAGAGCGAGGGAGGGAGAGGGAGAGACACACAAACAAAGACATATCTAGATAGATGCCTAGATGCAGCGAAACTCGCATGGCCCGCTTCGAAACCAAATAAGATCAAGCACTAAAAAGAGCACGGGACCGAGTCCAGGGCGCGAATGTGCGATGACTCAACCGAACGCCGGGGACGGAAGCAATCACGACGATTCAACATATATCAAATAAACGATGGCGGTGGTGGGGATGGTGGCCGCTGGAGCACGAAGAGGGTGCCCTTGTTTCCCCTTGCTATCCGTAAGCGCTCGCTCAGGTAGGTGACGTCTATCCACCCCTTCACCTGCCCGAGCGAGAAACAAATAAGTAAACATTGAGCGTAGCACACACACAGGCTTCGTGAAAGTAGGGAGGCACACGCGCATCCCACAAACACGCACACCCGTGGATCGGCCAACGCTGCCGTCAAGGCGACTTCATTCATCAGCCGGATAAAGGGGCGATGGCCTTAAAAAGATAAAAACGAAAGGCAAAAACACGCAAAGCGAGTACGTCTATCGCTCTACGCCTTCAAGAACTTCGAAGCAGCTCCCATGCTACGAATACACAGCACTCAAAAACGAACTCGAGTGCAAGGTAGCAGCCTTTGTAGACGTGTGCAGTTTTTTTCTGTTGCTACCATTTCTGTCTTTGATCCGGGGAATAGGTTAGTCTCCCCCATGCCGCCCCCTCACGGGGTCGATGAATGGCATTTAGAAGTGTTCTTGGTTTTCACCCTCACTGAGACTGACGTTTTTTCATTGGTCAGCCGGTTAGCGCGGTCGATGCTTATAAAAAAAACACACGCTCGCACGCGTACACATACAAATACCGCAGAATCATGCGCACGAAAATCACAGCGAGGCTGGTCATTTCAATCACACGACAAAGAGCCAAAAAAAAATGTTGAGGGAAAGGGCATTCTTTCCGTACTTACGTGGCGGCGCGCGTCTGCGCCGCTTGCTGCGAGTACCGGCTGACGACTTCAGCGTCATGGACAACAAAAGAGCGAACGGCGTTCGTTGAGCTTGCCGGTCGCGTTGGCATTGCTTGCTCGCTTGAACAAACCAATAAAAATAGGTGGCAACGGCAGGAAGGCAAAAACAAAAGCAAAAACCCAACACACCTCGTCCCCGAACAAGCGAAAGGGCACCGGGTAGGGGATGCTGAAGGGCAGCGCCTTGAAGTCGAAGCCGGCTTCATCGAACTGGAAGTCGATGCGCCTGCTGGGGTCCTGTAATTCATCATAGGGAGGGGGAATGGATGAGTGCATCATGCAAGAAGCATCGTTCATCAAGGGGAACCAAGAAAGGCAAGAAGACGTGCATCGCCGGCGAACACACATCACACGATAGTGGGCACTGCTGCTGCTGCTGCTGCTGTGGCTGCCGCAGCTGGGATCGCAAAGTCTATCGTTGGCGCTAGGTTAGAAGCACGGCGAGCCGCGGGTCACACACGCTCAGTCTCGAGGATATGCGGTTGGTTTGGAGGGAGTAGCTGCAAAGCTATATCCGTAGGCTGTTGTGAAGCCTACAAGCAGAGGTATACACTGGAGTGCCGCAGCAGCTTGGTGTGTCTCGGAACGAAGAGATGTGAAAGATCTTGGTATTACTGACTGACTCTAGGGTCAGGTTTGCTTGGATGATGCTGTTTGAGGAGTGTGCACAAGGGGCGAGTGCGCATTGTGCTCATCAAAAAAGATCAAAAGCACAACAATAAAAACAATTCTACATGACCCCAAGATCTCCGTCTCGGCTGAACTTTTGGGGTCTCCAAGGTACGAAATAAACATGTATCAACGGTCTAGTTTACACATGACAGTCTCCTGGCAGTCCCGTGTGTGTGCATCTGGACATCCATGCATCCATGCCCTTGTAGATTGCTCTTACTACCACTAGATTACTGTAGCAATGACTAACTAGTACTACTGGATGTGACAGTCAACCTACTGCTGCCTGCAAAGCTTAGCTGTCTGCACAGGTCATTAAGGCCACGCTGGGAAGCGTAGCTCACAGGGCTTGCCAAACTGATCCTCTCCGCAGCACAGTACGTGCCATGGGGCAAGATGCAACCAAAGCACAAGAGCGTACTACTCGCGTACGCGGTACATATGAGAGACATGGACCGGTAAATCTACATCACCAGGGTGTGCGGGTGACAGTTCTGGTAATGCATGCACCGCAAGCATTCCATTGCAACAACGGAGAATACACAACGTGCAACATTCAATCACATCAGGAAAAAGGCAGGCACAGGTATTGCACCGTCCTTGGTCACCTTCGGGGCGGTAGCCAAACGAAAACAACAACGGGATTCTCAAGGGCCAAAATGAAAACCGCAAAGTAACCACGTTGTTATCTCTCACCTCCGGCGGAGTGGTTTGGCTAACCCCCAATATATTTAGGCCAAAAAAACGCCCGTCGCCCTTCCTCGGGACGAAGCCTTCCATAGGCCTGGAAGGCGTGCTGGCGAGAGCAGTAACTCTCAGCTGACCTACTCGGGGCCCGAAGTCCACCACGTTGGTTACCGTCGGGGGCACCTGTAGCGGGCCGAAACGCGTTGGGGGTGGGGGCCCGCGTTACGATCGTCGACACAAGCTAGCGCACTGCCGAGCGGGCCACGCGGATGAGTGTATCATTCGCAGCGGGACCGTAGAACCGAGATATTTCTCCGCGGGTCTGCTTTGTGAAGATACCTTGACATCCAACCCGGCCCGGCCACAGCAGCAGCAGTGACAACAAGGGAAGCCAAAATCGGCAGCTCGCACCTCCGAGAAGAGGTCGATGTCCTGGTATATGGCGAAGCCATCCATCCCAACAAACGACCGCTGCACCGGCGAAGCGGTTCCCGGGGTGGTCGTGAAGATCAGCCTCCAGCTTCCGTCAACGACTGGGCTCGAGGCCGCCTTCGGAACGCCCCCGTCGCTTTCCAGGGCCTCCACGGCCTTGTCCACTAGCTCACGTTGCTCCTGGGTGACGTCTCTGTTGCGTAGAGGCGTGCACGTACACATGCCCATGTTCGTGGACGGAAGGAGCTAGGTAAGTAGCCGTTACATAGCATTCAGTTGGGATTTTCCCGTGGAGGGTATGTGGTGAAAGGCTTTGGATGATAGCGGGGGGTTCCCGTTTTCTGTCGCAGTTTCGGGGCATTCCTCCTTCTCTCTCTCTCTCCCCTTCGTATCTTCTCTCTTGCCAGCTATTACACACCCCAGACCAGGGCTAGAGCTCACGAATAGCCCACACGGAAGGAAGTGTGGTGGGGACTGTTGCGGCCTTCGTGTAGTAGACTACATAGTCAAAGGTCAGGTCTTCGTGGGGTACGGTGTGGGTCTAGAACCGGTGCGCAAGAACACCAGCTGACACACAGCCCCCAACCATACCTCCCCCTGCCCTGAACCCCTTCGATGGCCGACAGAAGGTTCGCCTCCAGCTCCTCCGCCTTGCTGGTTTTCGTCGCCGAGCTCCCGTTGTTTCCGCCGAAGAGGGCCATGAAGAACTCCGGCAGCGACGCTGGCGACGCTGGCCGAGGCGCAGCGCGAAGGGCGTGGGCCGGCGGTGCCGCATATGAGGAGGAGGGTCCACTTGCTATTGTGTGGTCATGCTGCCACCGCCGGCAACCAGTCGCGGCAGCAGCAGTACCAGGCGTGGGTGTCGTTGCCGCGCCGTTGTTGGCACCGGCAGCGTTGTTAGCGAGTAACGGCACAAATCCCTGCGTAAAAGATGAAGAGAGGGTATTGTAGAGGTTGGGTATACTACGATTCAGACAGAGAGCGTTTTTCCGGTGGATGATGAGCTGATGCAACGGCCAAACCTGTTTAGCTCTTTATGATCAAGTCAAATAATTGAGGGAAAGGACACGGATTAACCCAGGCTGCGCACTGGTCAACTCTCTCTGATCGAAACGGCGGTAAGCCGTCCAGTCACGTGTTACATGCACTCTCCGCGCTGCGGGCTAACCGTACGTGAACAGCAACGTCACCTGTATTCCAAGCGGCAGCCCAAGCAGCACCAACGCGGTTGTGCAGTGGGCCAGCATGGCTTCTCCTCCTCTGCCGGGGGGGGTGGGCCACACTCGCGGCAACAGGGGTCTACGAACGAACTCACCCCGTGCCGCGAGGCACAAGCGCAACAGCCGGGTCCTGATTGGCTGTCGGCTGACTCGGGAACCACCGAGAATGACGCTTGACTCCTGAAGAACGTTCGTATGCTGCAAACCCCATGATTCCGCGGAGCCACCCTACCTCTCTGTCAGTCTCTGTGTACACAGCGCACACACAAGCTTACTCCCTGCTCGCTGGCTCGTCTGCTCTGGTCTTGGGGTGTGTTGTGAGCGGGGGGGGTACGATTAGAGGGTGGGAGGAGAGGGAGACCAGGTGCAGATCTTGACGCGCTGGGTATTGGGATCTGAGACAGCCGGTGGGTCCAATAGTCCCCAATACATCCCGGGGGCATCCACATCTTGGCGCTGCAAAGAACATCAGGCAGGGCACCGCCGTAGAGAGTAGGGGTTCAACCGGCTTGACTTGCCGAAGGCGCTACCAGCGGTATGGACCCCAAGTCCGAGTGGGCTCTGGGCGAGTTTCGAGATCCTCCCATCGAGTTGAGGATACTGGAACACAGGGTTGCAGGCGGCGGAGCAGCAGCGGCCGCGGCAGCGGCAGCCAGAGGCGGCGTGGCAGCCAGAGGGGGCGTAGCCGGCGGCGGCGGTGCTGGCGGTAGTCCGCAGCAACAACAAGCGCTACCCGGGGGCAGTGTTGCTACCACCGCTGCTGCTGCTGCTGCCGGTGGGCATGGACGAGTGCTGCCGGCCTGGACGGCTTACCAAGGGGAGCGCTTGACAGGCCTCCTGGTGGTGAAGTTTGATGTTGCGAGTGCCGGTCAGTGAGAGGAGCAATCTATTCCGAAGAAGAGCATGTCTGTCTGTAGAATGGATCAACTTGTTGTGTGCAATAGTCTACGAGCTGTTTGCAAATCTACAGACAGTACAGCCGGCGCGAGCGGATTTCGTTCGCTCGGCGCCTAGACGAGAGCCTGCAAAAGTCTTCCTTGCATCTGTCCGGCAGGCATGAGAGGTTTCGAGGAGTATTACCTGCTACTACTGCCGCGGCCCCCGCCGCCGCTGCGGCTGTTCTGGGTCGGACTTGTACACCGAGCGTGAAAGGACGGTGTCCGCAAGCGCCTCTGGTGCTCATTTTCACCACATAGCTACGCTCCTCTTCGCAGCGCAATGTGTTACAGAGGGGTTGAGTCCCTTCTCTGCAAAAGGGGGAGCGCGATGTACAGTTAGGTCTCAATACGCAAAAAACAACCCGGCAGCTAGACTGGTACCATTGCTGAGGTGTTTCGTACGCACTCCTTCGTTGTGGGGTGACCGACGTCGTGTTGCCGCAGATGGCGAAGACCGGCGGAGTCGCTGGCGGCAGTTCGGGACCGAGCTGAATGTGGAGCTGGAGGTGAACAACGGCGTGAATTCAAGCGGCCGCACGCGTGTCGGGTAGCATTGTGGCAAAGTGCGCTCTGGAAGTGCGTTGGCAAGAAAACTACGGTTACCTTGCCTCTCCCTGCACTGCTTTCGAAGAGTGCCTGCGTGCGGCCGCCGCCGGTACTGCAGCTGTTGCTGACGGTTCCAGCCCCGTTTTCTCCCGCTCTATCCTCTCCTCGTCCCGCCCCCACTAAGCCACGCCAAAATTCAACGAAAAAGTCGGAATGTTTTTCTCTCCCCGTGTCCACGCACAAGTGAATTCGAAGGATAAGACTACGGAAGACACTTTTGAGCCACCCTTTGGCAAAGTAGGAAGGAAGGATTGGCCATCGATGATCGGTCCTGTGGGAACCATGCTCCGTCCTCTCGAAGACGCGTGGTCAATGGTCTAGCCGGTAAGGCATCCAAACCTAAGAGTACCCCCTCCCCCCCCCCACGTCCACGTACAGATCACCACGGAGGCGGTGGCTTCGGCGGGCACGGCGTTCTTGTCGGAAGAGCCCTCCCTGTGGAGGGACTACGAGGGCAGGGAGAACACGAGGGACAGGGGGGTGCTGGCCCGCAGCAACCGCACCGTCAGCCTAAGCCCCGAAGGCTCCCAGCTGCAGTCGGGCGCAGAGCTGGTGTACGCTCTCGACATGGAGGTGAGATGTGTTGTTTGTTGTTGTCGTTGTTGTCGTTGTTGTCGATACGCTTGCAGTGCAGCGGTTGGTCGGGGCGAGTGGTCGAGCTACCCGCAGGAGGTGGCGTAGGGCGGGGACTGACTCGTACTCGTGCAATGCTGTAAGGCCGTAGCCGGAACGTTGTGTAAGTCCTTACGGGGCACGGGGCGCCGCTGTCGGGATTTTTACGGCCAGGCCGGGGGTGGGGAGACCGCTCAGACATTAGCGCAGACGCTCGTCTTCGTCGGAGTTGGGGTACTGCTGTGGTCGGTTGGGTGACACATATGAGGCTTTGAAGTCGTGGCTGTTAATCTGTGCGTGCGGTGAGAGCAGGGGGGATTTGCTCCTGTGTGGCGGAAAAAAGGTTGTCTGCAAGGTGTAGTTAACCGTTGGGATGCAAGGTCCGCTTGCTCTACTGCTTCGACTGCTTCTCGCGTTTCGTCATAGACGTGGCGCCCGCACCAGCCGTGGAACGAGGACCTGGCAAATCGCTTGGTGTTGACGGGGTTATTTTTGACGTGCTTGTTCATGAGCTGCGGGCGCTCTGCGAATTACGAAATACGAATGTGATTCGCGAGGGTGTTCCCCGAGGATACATATGCCGTTATGTGGCTGCTCATATTCCTGATGACTGCTATCCGATGCACAACCGGGGAACGAGCTATTCGTCGCACTGGCTATGAGCATGCTGCTTCGTCGCGCGTTCACGTTCATGCCCTAGAAGCCGTGTATCTCCTGACGATTCTCCCCTCCCTCTTTCTGCCTCTGCTCTACTCCCCCTCCCCGTCTCTTTTCCCAACTCGCCCGTGAAACAACAACGACAACGACAACCTCAAAAGGTGCAAGTCCCCGTGGACTCCCTCGGACAGAACGTGGTGCTCGAGGCCCTCGTGTCCCCACCTTCGGGGAGACGGAGCGAGTGCGTTAACACCCGTGGCGTTGCCGCCGGTCCCTCCAGGGACACCTCAGGCGCTTCTTCTGGTGCCGGAGGAGCCGGCGGCGACGGCGGCGGTGGCGGTAGCGGCGGCAGCAATGGCGGGGGCGGGCGGAGGAGAGGAATCGGAGGGGACTTCGCGACCCGTCTCGACGGCCTGTTCGCGCTCAGCAGGGTGGCGCCGGTGCGACTACCCGTGCGGCGGTGCTTCCTGCCCCTGCGCGTGGTCCAACCCATCACCGTCACGAGCCGGTCCTGCCCTTTTACGTCGTCGCCTGCCGCTGCTGCCGCTGCTGCCGCTGCTAGCGGTGGTGCGTTCGCCGGGGCCATCGGGCGGTGCCTGGTGGCCCTCGAGGTCCGGAATGACCACCCCGCCGCCGCCATCACCGTCCACGACGTCGAGGTCCACGTGGACGCCACGGCGCGGTGCGGGGACAGGTCGTCGTCGCGGGGGTTTTCTGCCCCGGGGAAGGCGGGGGGGAGAGGCGGCGGCGGCGGCGGGGGGGGACGAGGATGAGGAGGACACGCCGGAGAGGAACCCCGGGCCGGACGCGGCGGTGCTGAGGGCCATCAAGCTGCGACTGGAGCAGTGGCGGAAGGACAACACAAAGCGCGTGGAACAGGTGAGCATGACGGCGTTTGTCTTGCAACGGGCGTTTTCGGGAAAGATCGCTCGCTTCCAATTTTGGGTGTAGGTTGGGTTGGATGAGAGGTGGGTTCGTTTGCATGTTACCGCCCGCCCTTTGCGTTCCTCCCTACGAAAGAGGTGAGAGTTGTNGGGGGGGGGGGGGGGGGGAGGGGAAGCGGAAGGAGGAAGATGTCGGGAGGAGTGCCAGTCATGTCGGGAGGAGTGCCGGTGGGAGGGGCGTTCGCTCCTCTTGAGGTGCGTGTTTCTGTTGCTGGTTTTAAGGAAATGCTCGCGTGGAGGGATGGTGGGCTGTTTTTATTGATACAAGACTTGATGGTTGGTTGGCAGGGAATTGCTGGGCCTTTGTCGTTGTTTGGTCTTGGTTGTCGTTGTCGTTGGAATTGAAATTGGTGGTGATTGGTGGTTGAACTTGCTGCTGTTGTTCTATGTTGTGGATGGTGGCAGCGCCGCCTCTGGTGTTTGGTGTGTCTCGTAGTCGCAGCGAGGGCTAGGCAGAGTCGCCGCATGAATGACTACAGCTGCGGTCGCTTCTGCTTCAGCTGCTTCTGCCAAGACACCATCGTTGTCAACCGCTCCTTCGAACCGAAAGGTCCGCCGCTCTCTCTTTCTCTCTCCCCGCTCCGCCTCCTCGTCCCGCTTGTTCTGTCGCCGTAAACAACTAGTAACACAACAACAACAACAACAAGCTCCAACGAAACACGCTGACTCATATCAACAGGGGCTGGACGGGTCGATCGAGCAGCCGCCTCTTGTGGGGGCAAGCAGCCTCGGAGGGGGCGGCGCTCCGGCCACGGGCAGCTTCTTGAGAGTGTTCTCCGCCTCCTGGGTGGCGAAGCCGCCCCTGCCGCTGGAGCTGGCCCCCGGGGAGGTGCAAGGCTTCGTGGTCTCCATCTCTCCTGCGGGGGAACCGCTGCCCCCTCGGCGGGCGGGCGGGCACTTAGAGAGTCCGGTTAGTTTTTATTTCCTTTTTTTGTGTCTTGCTTGCTTGCTTGCTTGCTTGCTTGCTTGCTTGCTTGCTTGCTCTCTCGTCCGTCGGTGCTTTCTTGTGATAAGAGGCACACGTTTTCTGGACCACGCAGATAATGTGGCGAATGTGGTTGATTTCTTTTTGTAACTTGCTTGCTCGTCGGTGTTTCTTGAAAAAGGCACAAATGAGCGCTATGTATTAGGCACACATTGTCCCTAACACATAATGCTGGTAGCGATGTGTTTGTTCCTTCTTAGTTTGTCTCATTTTCGCCCCCGACATCTACACATGCCATATTTTCTTTTTCCCCCGATTAATCCCTTACACCCATCAAATAACAGGTCACGTTCGTGTGGACCCTAGGCAAGGGCGGCGCCGCCGCCGTCGCAGGCAGCGGCGACGCCTCAACGGCCGCGGCGGCAGGAGCCCCCGCTGCTTCTGCTGGTTCGTCCACCGCGCAGCGGCAATCGTCCTCCTCACGGTCGTCGTCCCCAACCCCGATGACGTCGGCCTCGCCTTCGGCAGGGTTGCGGCCGACGGTGTCGGCGGCGACGCCGACAACCTCGGTGTACCTGGCGCAGTGGCAGTCGGAGCAGCGGGCGCGCGACGAGGTGCTGGTGAGGGTGAAAGGGCAGCCGAAGGTCAAGCTCAACCGGGTGTTCGAGGTATGTGTGTGTGTGTGTTTCTTTGGGGGGCAGGTTGTTATTTGTATCGACCGCGCTAACCAGCTTACCAATGGAAAGGCGTGTGTGTGTGTCTTTAGTATTAGCATTGACCATGTGTGTGTTTTTTCATTGGCGTCGACCGCGCTAGCCGGCTGACTAATGGAAAGACGTCAGCCTTCGTAGCGGTATAAGAATCACGAACGATTATCCTTTCTATCTTTCTATCCGAAAGGGTTTTACCGCCACGGGCGGGCGCAGGAGTTGGGCAACATTGCCGTGCTTCTGAACTACGAGAAAATACTCAATACTGCCAGGTAGCATTATTTGTGTGTTTGTGTTTGGTTTTGCGTCCATGCGTGCCGCAGGGCACCCGGCGGGTCGAGGTGTCATTGATTGTTGATTGTTGGTCACTGTCTCTCTGTATCGCTTTGCCTGCAGCTTGGGTCTCATCTTGTCTGTTCGTTTCGCGTCGGAACCTGTCGCGCTCGCTAGCTGGCCGGTCTTTCTGTACAGCTTTCGTTGTTTTCGAGAACGTGGGTGATGTGCTGCATCCATCCTCCCGGTGTACACTTGTGTGCTTCCGTCATGCCCACAGCATCTTCTCACGCTAACTAACCCGCCCCACGGCAACACCACCAAGCAGTAAGTACACCCCGACACTGTACACCACAGGTGTCTCTCCAGGTGCGCAACCTATCGGATAGCGCTCGGGACTTGGTCGTGATGTTCACGGAGGACCCCGCCCAAGACAGCCGGCGCCGCCGCGATAGTGAGCATCAAACCTTGTCTTTGGACGGCGGCGGCGGCGGCGGCGGTGGTGGCGGTAGCGGCCCAGTTGAAGGTAGCGATTCGGACGGCGACGATGACGGTGGGGCTGTCAAGGACATCTCCCCTTCGGTGAGCGTTGCAGCAGCCTTCGTAGGATTTTTTTCTATTGAGTAAGTATGTGGGATAAAGCATGCAATCGGAGAAGTTCGGTTAGGGTTGGGGTTAGGAGTAGGGTCTGCGTATTCCCTCCCTGTTCTATGTCCTCATTGACGTATATCTTGTTGTTTACTTGGAAAGGCGTGAGAGCAATATTCATCTGCCAAAAAAAAACTCCATTGCCTGTACGCAGACTACATGCAGCACGCGCCAGCCACCCTGAGAGCCTGAGAATGATCAAATCCAAGCTCGAAAGAACTTTTTCACTTCGGAACAGAATCTCAGTTCACAATCGTATTCTACCCGAGACTATATTCCATGTCGGGAAACCCCACAGCGGAAATACAAAGCGAGCCTCGGGAATACTTGTAAAGATAAATAGATTGAAGGTTTTCCCTGCCGCAGCACGCGATCGGTACGGTTCGGCTTCAATCGATCTTCCCTACCCTTAAACAAGGAGACCACTTACCTCCCGGAGAATTCACGCCAACCCCGTGGCATGTCTGGTTTGGCATACCAAACGCTAGGATGATGGCCAGCTTCTCTGGTTGGTCATCGTTGTGAACCGCGGCCTGGACGGGAGAAGAACCGACCGCCTCCATATCGCGTTGTCCCGGCGTTGTAGGAATGCGACGTCAATGATCTAACGACATTACGGCATGGGTTGACATGAGTACCCCCCCCCCCCCGTTTCTCCCCCCCCCTCCCTCCGTTTAGGCCTCCCCGGGGCACCACAACCGAGGCGCAGGCTTCGGCCGCACCCGCTCCCCACCGCCACCGGCACCACGAGAGACCACCCAAGCCGCCGCTGCCACGGCGGCGGCAGCGGCGGCGGCAGCGGCGGCGGCGGCGGCGGCGGCAGCAGCGCCGACGTGCCTGCTCGGGGACCTCCTGCCGGTGGACGCGGCGGTGCCCCTCGGGCGGCTGGAGAGGGGCGCGGAGCACGGGGCAACGGTCAGGCTCACGGCGGCAAGGGCGGGCCTGGCCCGGCTGTCGAGCCTCTGCCTCAGGGACGCGCTGACCGGGTCGGTCTACGCCCCTTCCTGCCCTTACGAGGTGTTCGTGGAGGGGTAGGGGAAGGAAGAGGCTGTGTAGTAGTAGTAGTGCACGAACCGGCCCCGCGTCGATGACGATTGGTTGGAGACGTGTACGTCTCGTGTCTCGTGGCGTGTTTTTTTTTTTTTTCTGTTGCTTTTAGATTTTCGAAACAACCCAAGCCCTTCGAACGGACGTGTCCGTGGGGGGGAGTCGTTTGTGGTAATTCGCGCGTAACAATGACGGGCGCCATGATTGGTACGCTGGCCGGCGGCGGTGTAACATAGTGAGGCGCGAGTGTAGGGTCTTTGAGTCTAGCACCGATGTTTAGCGAACGCCTTAGTCGGGACAAAATGGTGCTTTTACCCCATCCCACCATACACAAGACACTGGGGCTTGATGCGAGGCGCCAACGTTAGCACACGGGTGGGTTACACTTGGTACTACTGTACGGGTAGGCCTACCCAGCTCTTCGTAGACGGAAGGTTGTACCGTGAAAAATTTGGTTGCGTGTCGACAGCATTCAGCAGCAGCCAATGTCGAAGGAGGGAAGAAGGACAAGTTCCAAGCAGCCGGACTGCTCTCGATGTTCCTCTCGGCGAACATCTGTGGGGATACATGGTGCGTTTGCCTCTCCAGGTTGTTGTAGCCATGTACCGACGGTTGTTGTTGTTGTTGTCGTCGTCTTCACATAAAAAGCCTTTGTGGTCTCCGCCCAGTACCACCTTCTAACATCCGTACTGGTCCAACTGATGCGGACTCCTTCCGTGGTGACAAGCCAAGCCAACTACAATGAGGGGTATGTGAGGGGTACACCTTTCTATAAAAACGAAAAAGGTGCAGCGAGTGGAATTCGCTCTTCTATCTTTCATTGCATAGTAGACAGTTAGGTTGTCATTCACAATGGTTCATCTCGGGGGTGCACCGTCGTGCTGAAAAGTGGTCGTGAAACCAACCCGCAATTCAGAGTCCCTCCATACGAAGTTATCTCACAACCAAATTATGACTTCATCTACTGTTGATGCCCTTACGTGCGGCGATCGACCTAAGACAGTGGCTGATCGGTAAGAAAGGAAGTCCCGTCTGGAGCAATAAATCCCCTAGCCACCGCGAAGCTAGCTGGCTCCATCCACGTCTTGCGCACGAAGCACTTGTACACAAGATTGACCGACGGTTTTCCTTTTTGTTGTGCGGCACGACGCCGTTCGTCGAGTCTCCCGAAGAATGATCGCTGCGCTGTGCTCCAAACCTTGCACACGCGGAACGTGTTCGCGACTCCGTGTGTCTTGTTGCTGTGTTAATAGCTGATCATGCACCGCCTCTTCGATGACACAGCCCAAGGGCTGCAGTGGTCTCGATTGGGGGCGTAAACATCTCGGCATCAACCGGCCCCGCCTTTGGCTCAATGATGGCTTTCGTGATACCTGAGACCATTGGGGATCCGGCGAAGGTGGTTTCGAAAAGGTTTCTTCGAGGGGTGTCGCCAAGAAGCATAGACTAGACGACACCGGTGTCGCATCTACATTATTAGCTCTTTCGATGTATATTCGTCGCTCTCCAAAGCACTACCGCTACGACACTGCCATAATATTTCGGAGTAGTCTGTTGTATGGAATTGTCGGCTTCCCCCTCTACAGATACGAGTGAGCGGAAAATTGACCGCCGTTCATTGCGCCGGCGTAGTCGACCGACGCTGTGGTACATGGCCGGCCGCCACAAGTGGGAAAGAGCAGAGGTCAGACGGTGTGTAACGAGAGAGGGACTGCGACCAGAGGGTTGTGCCGGTGATGTGTCGATACGCCGCTGTTGGTGGAGCGTACCATCCCAGGAAGGGAGAAGGTTCGCCGAAGCAAGGCAACAGCAATAATGGTAAGGCATCGGCCGCACTGACGGGTGTATAAAACCCGAACTAAATGTTGTCCATCTGCCTGGAGCTTGAGTCGGTCGGATACAGCAGGCGTCATCGGAGGTGCTCCCCCTTAGACTATACCAGTCTGTCCGGAAATATAAGAAAAATAGCTGGGATTTGAGGTTCAGGCGGCATAACTCGTGCTGGTTCACGTTTTTTTTTTAACGTTATTTTTCCAGCACCCATATGATATACCCGAACGCGCCAAAACCGCACTCTTTGCGGAGGGCACCCATAAGCACCGACTACAGCAACGCGAAGTAGCAGCACTCAGAGCTAAAATAAAGAATCTCTTGTATCGTGCTCTTCAAGCTACCCTCGTGACGATGTCAGCGTCTGGTAATGTCGGCGGGACTGTGAAAAGAAAGAATCTCACAAGTTTTGAGAAACGGGCCGCGATTGCCGAGCTACTGAAGGGCAGCAAGAACGGGAAGCTGTGCAGAGGTGACCTCAAGAGGGTTGGAGCACAGTTCGAGCAACATCCGGAGACTATCAGCCGCCTTTGGAAGAACTACAGTATGCAGAAAGAAGGTGGCGCGGTGGATCCCATGAAAGGTAAACTACGCGGGGTGCAGCAATCCCGTGTTGGGCGTCTG